TGGCCAAGATGGCCTCTTCGTCTTCGTCATCGTCGATTGGGATCGTGGAGTGGTTGTACAAGCCCTGGGCCATGAGCTGTAATGCCAGAGATCCCTTTTGACCAGTGCTCTTCTTCAACTTTGCTCTTTTATTCTATGAAAAAAAGACAAAGAAGAAAAAACACATCTCATCATTTCTGATTTGAAACTAAATTCCTTTTTTCTTTGAAAAAGGTCTAAAAACTTGTATATGTTTATTTTAAACTGGAATTTCGATCAAGATGGAACCCTTCTCCTCATTTCATGGAATAAATTCGTAGGGTGGAGGGGTTTCAAGCTCAATTCAGGTGCAATTTTATAAAAAATTAGTCAAAAAATTTGAATGTCAGAAAAAGTCAGTAAAGAATGCGTGTTTTTAGTACAACACCTTGTTACATCACATCATCATCTTGGAACAAATTCTAGATACAATGAATTCGTTTTCCCTGTCCCTGTCCAAGAGCCAAAACAGTATTTAGAAATATTTTTTTCAAATTTATCTGAATAACTAACTTGTTCCAGGTCCCAACACCTGTTTGCAATGAAATGTCACTTTGAAAGTGTTACAGCTTTTTTGTGGAAATGAGCATTCAACATTTTTAAATTAACTGTACCTGTTCAAAAAATTGGACATCCTCTACTTAATGCAGGGAGAAAAATACAGGACTCTTCCTCCTACAAAATTCAAGGGACCAGAAAAAATCTTTACAAAGAGAATTTTGTTGCAAAGAACCCCTAAACTATTACTAGAGAACCCTATGGCGCAAAAAAATGTGTTGAGCAGAGAAAATCATCGAGACAAGATTGTTGTAGAGAGAATTCAAATCTAGTTTCTACACACATTTCAATAAATTCTGGAGGGCTTTCATTGGATCATATACAGTATTTGAGTTTTGAATAACACATAATTTTGTATGCCCTATGTTCTCTTTAAGTCCTTTTGGCATTGTTGCAACAATAGTATATTTTACAGAGTTGAGCCCTGTTGAACAACCAACATCTGTGCTGCCTGATTTTGGCAGTTTAATGGGGTGGTGGTTTAGCAGGGGTGGCATGCACCTTCCTCCAAAATTGGGAGAAGAAACAAGAACAAAGGAAGGCTCTTTTAAAAAGCAAAGTGGGAAGTTTCATAAGTAAACCTTAATATTTTCTTATGTATTCTGTTCATTCATTCATTCTTTATGTAACTTCCCAATAATGACTGGACAAATTGGTAGTCTGCAGAACAAAACCTTTGTGTTTCTGCGCAAAGGGGTTTTTCAGTTAGAAATTCTGTTAAAATTGTATCCCCAAGTAAGATGCGCACTCCAATTTTTAGTGAATCTAAATCCACAAAATTAAAAAAAAATTGACTTTAGACATGAGTTGAACAAAAATCTGATAAATTTTCAATTTTTTTAGTACAAAACAATGCTTTCTTATACATTTGTTCCAAATTTCTCCATTACGATTAAGTATAATGCACACATAACTTTGTAAAACTTCTTGAAAAATTGTAATTGTAGGTCCAGGGTTAATTCTCAAAATTGCAATACATTTGGAGGAACTTTTATTGGATCATAAACAGGTGCAGGTGGTACCTTGCAATTTGACCTCTTGCCATTCAACCATCCTGCAATTCAATGGTTGAATGCGCTCGGAGGTCAACTTGCAATTTTACCCTCTTTCCAGTAACTTGACCTGTTTTAGCCTCTTCTCTAATGATTTTAAGCTGTTTGTCCTTGATTTTACAGAGTGTATTGTGATTCAAACCTAGTCCAGCAATGGATTAGGGTCAAATTTCAGGGCACCACTTGTATACTCAAGTTTTAAATAACACCCACATTTTCATTAAACCCCCATGTTATTTGGGGATCATTGTGGGATTGTTTTATAACAAGATTATATTGTACATCATGCAAAATTTGACCTCTAGCAATTCAACCATCCTGCAATAATTCAATGGTTGAATGCGCTTGGAGGTCAATTTTACCTCTTTCCAGTAACTTGACCTGTTTTAGCCTCTTTTCTAGTGATATTGTGCTATTTGTCCAAGATTTTACAGAGTGTCTTGTGATTCAAACCTAGTCCAGCAATGGATTAGGGTCAAATTTCAGGGCACCACTGGTATACTCAAGTTTTAAATGAGATGACACCCACATTTTCATTATACCCCCCCCCCCCCCCAAGTTATTTGGGGATCCTTGTGGGATTGTTGTATAACAAGATTATATTATACATCCTGCAATGCTGATAAACATATGCCAGAGAAAGGGGTTAATTCTTACCTGGAACCAGATCTTGATTTGAGCCTCATTGAGCTGCAGTTCCTGGGCCAGGTCCTGGCGGCGTTTCTCTGTTAGGTAGCGGTTCTGCTCAAACTCCGTTTTAAGGCGGCTTAATTGCTCTGAGCTGAAAGCCGTTCGAGGTCGCTTGTCATCTTTCTTGCTCTTGCTGCTTCGTCGCACTCTGCGTGATCTCGGACCTATTTACACCACAAAAAGAAAAAAACAAGAAAGAAATTCAAAACATAATCCAGCACGAAAAATTGGGACTGGATTATTTTCTGCATTTATATTCTGCGAGCAATCAAAACGTTTCGTCCAATGTTTTTTAAAGAATATTCTCGGACAAGGAGAATAAAGGTGAGCAGGTACTCGGTTTTTTTTTTTCACGGCGCCGGGAAAATTATGTGAAAAAAAGGTTGACGAATTTTTAAAATAACGATCCCCTCCAAGACATTTGTCTGGTGAAAAAATGTTATTTTTTCTAATCCGTATTATCGGTGCCAAAAATTGCTTGCTTAATTACTTTTCGTTTTTTGAAGGATTACAAGAAAGAACGTGTTGGGTATTTACCATGCATCAATTATGAGGTTATCAACGATGCATCAATTCCAACGGATATGAGGCAGAATCAGAATTCAAATAAAAATCTGTTCAATTTGCAAAGTTTCTTTGGAAAATTCCAATTAAGGCAGGGGTTTTCGTCAAGCGCGACGACAACGAATAAGTTTTCCCTCGCGTATTCGAGTTTCAAAATGGCTCAACGCAAAATATTGCTTCGTTTTTGACTCAAAAAGGAAATTAATATTTTGAGATTCAAAAGCATCGAGAGATGAAATATTTATAAGATTTTTGAATAAAGGGAGCAAGTTTTTGATATCTTGGTTCAGGTTTTATCCACTGTTCCAGAAAAACTGCCTCAAGGTTTTTGAATTTTTTCATGTTCATTCGAGTTTATTTTCTTTTTATTCGATGGCGTTTTATCATATAATTATTTTTTTAATGGAAACGTGATCAGCTACCAAAGTGTGTCCAGAAACTGGGCTAATCTAAAAAAAAAACATGCAATAACGATGGGAAAAAGAGGTTTCGTTCAGTGAAGGAAAAAGGCCCCACCTCGAGACCCCTTCATGGGGGGTGTGTGCTTGAAAATAAAACCCTCG